CCCATCTGCATAAGGCTAAGCTCCGCCTTTCCTTATCTAATGACTGAACGTTACCCTATCTGAAACCCAACACTGTGAGCACGTGATTTTTGCCCTATATGAATTACTCCCATAATTTCAAATAAAATAATTTCTTTTTATTATTTGCAATTTTGTGGATTTTCGTGGCATTTTTCTGTTAATGGTTTGCATTGTTGTCTGTGCATTTTAATTAGTGAAAAAATACCAAAAAATGTGTTGCACGTGCATTTAGGAGTTAATGTTGCATTTTAAGAATTATGTAGTAATTAAGTTGTGTTATAAAAAGGAAAATCACAAAAAATAGTTTAATTTGCACTTGAGTAGTTTTTCTTTTAATTTATTTTTTTAATTAGTTGTGATAATTATCATTTAGATTAATTAGTTTTTTAAGTTAATTAGGTTCTAGGGATTAATCTAGGAATTAATTTAATGTTGAAAAAAAAACAAAAAAAAACAAAAGGGATTTAGAAAAAAATGAAAGAAAGAAAAAGAGAAAAAAAAAGAGAAAGAGCAAATCAGTTGGGCTAGCCTTCAATTCTTCTACCCAGGCCCAATGCAAAACCTGATCAACATCTCAGCCCAAATCACATACACCCACCCCGACCCGCCTGGACCCGACCCGTTCCCCCAAATAACCCATAATCAAAAGAAAAAAGAGAGCTTAATCCCTAAATCCCCAAAGACGCGTTGTTCATCTTCTTCTTCATCTCAGCCGCGTTCAGCTTGCAAAATTCCGGGCGAGTGAGATGAAGAGCCTGTTTGGGTGGGCTTAAAAGCTGGTCAAACCAACTTTTAAGCCACTTTTTAACTTTTGGAGTGTTTGGCAACTAAAAAAAGGGCTTAAAAAATGCTTAAAAAAAGCCAAAACCAACAAGTTGGGTAAGCCCAACTTTTTCGAAATTGGCTTAAAAGCCAGATATTGTTGACCAAGTATATTACATTCTTATCCCTTATTATTTTTTTAATACCAAAATTACCCCTCAGTAAAAAAATCCTAAACATACGGTCTCTTTTTCTTTTGTCCATTCCAGTTGCAGCTTATGCGTTCTTCTTCCTCTGCGTTCTTCTTCCTCTTCTTCCATAACTCTCCCCAACTTCAACTCCAAGTTGAAAGCCTCTTCACAGTAAGTAATCTTCCTCATGAATTTCAATTACTAATGTGTTTTCAATGTTTTGGATTTAATTTCAATTCTATTGGAGATTAGGGCTAATAGATATGCCCATGGTTATGTATGTTATCTTAGAATATTAAATGAAAGACCCACAATAAGAAATGTGGATATTTCGCATAAATAATGAACATTTCTTATTTTCCTTATCTTCCAACTCTCTAGATTTCTCCCATATACATAAACCTTAATATCTACATAATATATATAAATACAGAGAAAAACATAAGACAGAAGAGGAATAGGTAGATTTTGATACTGAAGAAGATTCCACAAGAATAATATACATCACTATATACATTTTTGGCCACAAAAGTTAGTGGAAAGTGATTTGAAAGATCAGTTGGCTGCTTGTACGATATATTATACATACTGAGAAGTAAAATAGAAAAAAAGGAGAGGCTGTGGATGCAAGATTTTCTTGGTAAGTTTATCATGTAGAGAAATTTTTGGCCTTTTGTCTGTATTAGACAATAGCCTTTTGTCTGATATCTCTCTTTATGACCCAATTCAGTTCTTGATTTTGAGATTGAAATGATGAAAGGTACAAAAAGAATTCAAATTTGGTCTCTGTACTACCTGGAACCTTATATATTCCATGTTGTTTGTGGAATAATCTCTCTTTTTTGCATTTTCCATTGTTGTTACCTCCATGTTTTGCCTAGAAAAATTAGTTTATGATTCTCTGATCAGAAGATAGCTAATAATGAGATTAAAAGTGAAAAAGAAAACTTACTTTTGTACCTCATAGTTAAACTGTACATTGGGTGTCAAATGTACTGCTTTACCTTAATATACGAAGTTCTGTAAAGATTGTATTTGTATTAGAAGGTGAAAACTAGAGAATGTTTGTGTAATTAAATCCTTTATTTCTGTTTGTATATTATACTTTGTTTGCATATTATAATTTTATAGAATATGCCATACCAAGGAGTTGTGTGAGCAACTTCAGTCTTAGCAACTTCAGTCTTGGCTTCTTTAGGCTCTTATAGGTTGTCAAACACAAGGCTCTTTTAGGCTCTCTTTATGCAACTTCAGTCTTAGCTTCTTGGTTGTTCTGCTTTCTTCAGATTATTCACATTCAATCATGCCGGACAATGCCAAGTGGGACGATGATACACATATTATATTTCTTGAGTTGTGTGAGCAAGAGGTTAGAAAAGGAAATAGACCAAACACTTACTTAAATAAAGATGGGTGAAAAAGTATTGTTGACGAGTTCTGTAAGAAAACGGGAAAAGACTATGCTAAAAAAAATGAAAAATCATTGGGATTACATGAAAGGAGAATGGACACTTTTTAAGCAGTTGATGAGAGGGGAGACAGGGTTAGGATGGGATGCCACGAAAAATACGATTATGGCAGATGATGATTGGTGGGAGCGAAAAATTAAGGTACATCCCTCACATTATCATATGTGTAATTCTTATTTTTGTCATTGTTAATTTTATCAGTTTGATTAAAGTAATTTTTATTTTCTCTTTTTACGGGAGAATGCAAAATATAAGAAATTCAGGAACAAAGATCTTTCGCACATATGGTTTCGCTACGATGCACTGTTTGCTGATGTTGTTGCCACAGGAGAAAGAGCACGTGCAGCAAATCAAGAACAATCATCGGGCATTGGACTTAATCTTGATGAAGAAGGAATAAATGTCATTGATGATTGTGACAAAAAACACTTCACTTATCTTAATGATGAAATGAGCGATGAAAGTGATGATCTACAGAATATAAATTCTGTTATGTTTCCAGAGCCATCACTAAAAAGACAAAAATCAACTGACGGTGTTAGCACCAGTAGTCAAGTAAGAAAGAGTAAGAAAAAAACAACTGCAACATTAATAAAAGAGGATATACACTCTCTCATAGAGTTTATGTCTAGCAAAAGCACTGCTACATCTACTGCAGTTGATGAGACATCCATCGAGAAGTGTATTGGCACGTTGGGACAAATTCCTGATATTCTAGCTGGGAGTGAAATTTACAGTTTTACTATGAATATGTTCCGCAAGAAAAATAATCGACAGATATTTTTGGGGATGCTTACTGATGAAGCTCGCAAGTGTTGGTTGGAGTTTAACTACCAGTTATACCTTAACAAAAATGGATAATGTATCGTTGTGGTTGAGACTTTCTATTATTCCATGTTCGAATATTGTGATTGTATGTGTAAACTTTATTATGATTTTATGTGTAAACTTTATTATGGTTTTATGTGTAAACTTTATTATGGTTTTATGTGTTTAGATGTTGTGATTGTATCACTAAACTTTTATTAAATTAAAGATTTTGTTTGTTAAGCTTACTATTGTTAAGCTTCAGGTAACATTTATCTATCGAATGACTTAACTGAAAAGTATGGGCTTAAACCCACACGTGGAATGTCTATACACGAGATGTTAGGCATGTTCTTGATGACTTGTGCACATGGAGCTGGANGAAAGCCTCTTCACAGTAAGTAATCTTCCTCATGAATTTCAATTACTAATGTGTTTTCAATGTTTTGGATTTAATTTCAATTCTATTGGAGATTAGGGCTAATAGATATGCCCATGGTTATGTATGTTATCTTAGAATATTAAATGAAAGACCCACAATAAGAAATGTGGATATTTCGCATAGATAATGAACATTTCTTATTTTCCTTATCTTCCAACTCTCTAGATTTCTCCCATATACATAAACCTTAATATCTACATAATATATATAAATATAGAGAAACACATAAGACAGAAGAGGAATAGGTAGATTTTGATACTGAAGAAGATTCCACAAGAATAACATACATCACTATATATATTTTTGGCCACAAAAGTTTAGTGGAAAGTGATTTGAAAGATCAGTTGGCTGCTTGTACGATATATTATACATACTGAGAAGTAAAATAGAAAAAAAAGGAGAGGCTGTGGATGCAAGATTTTCTTGGTAAGTTTATCATGTAGAGAAATTTTTGGCCTTTTGTCTGTATTAGACAATAGTCTTTAAATTTCTCTTTTATTTCTTGGGTATTAGGTGGGTGGTTGGAGGGTTTAATTTGGCTGCTTCTGAGATACGTGCAGCAATTTTTTGGCATATTTTCTAGTTTTCGTATATTTGTTCTGATATCTCTCTTTATGACCCAATTCAGTTCTTGATTTTGAGATTGAAATGATGAAAGGTACAAAAAGAATTCAACTTTGGTCTCTGTACTACCTGGAACCTTATATATTCCATGTTGTTTGTGGAATAATCTCTCTTTTTTACATTTTCCATTGTTGTTACCTCCATGTTTTGCCTAGAAAAATTAGTTTATGATTCTCTGATCAGAAGATAGCTAATAATGAGATTAAAAGTGAAAAAGAAAACTTACTTTTGTACCTCATAGTTAAACTGTGCATTGGGTGTCAAATGTACTGCTTTACCTTAATATACAAAGCTCTGTAAAGATTGTATTTGTATTAGAAGGTGAAAACTAGAGAATGTTTGTGTAATTAAATCCTTTATTTTTGTTTGTATATTATACTTTGTTTGCATATTATAATTTGTATAGAATATGCCATACCAAGGAGTTGTGTGAGCAACTTCAGTCTTAGCAACTTCAGTCTTGGCTTCTTTAGGCTCTTTTAGGCTGTCAAACACAAGGCTCTTTTAGGCTCTCTTTATGCAACATCAGTCTTAGCTTCTTGGTTGTTCTGCTTTCTTCAGATTATTTACATTCAATCATGCCGGACAATGCTAAGTGGGACGATGATACACATATTATATTTCTTGAGTTGTGTGAGCAAGATGTTAGAAAAGGAAATAGACCAAACACTTACTTAAATAAAGATGGGTGGAAAAGTATTGTTGACGACTTCTGTAAGAAAACGGGAAAAGACTATGATAAAAAAAATGAAAAATCATTGGGATTACATGAAAGGAGAATGGACACTTTTTAAGCAGTTGATGAGAGGGGAGACAGGGTTAGGATGGGATGCCACGAAAAATACGATTATGGCAGATGATGATTGGTGGGAGCGAAAAATTAAGGTACATCCCTCACATTATCATATGTGTAATTCTTATTTTTGTCATTGTTAATTTTATCAGTTTGATTAAAGTAGTTTTTATTTTCTCTTTTTACATGAGAATGCAAAATATAAGAAATTCAGGAACAAAGATCTTTCGCTCATATGGTTTCTCTACGATGCACTGTTTGCTGATGTTGTTGCCACAGGAGAAAGAGCACGTGCAGCAAATCAAGAACAATCTTGATGAAGAAGGAATAAATGTCATTGATGATTGTGACAAAGAACACTTCACTTATCTTAATGATGAAGTGAGCGATGAAAGTGATGATCTACAGAATATAAATTCTGTTATGTTTCCAGAGCCATCACTAAAAAGACAAAAATCAACTGATGGTGTTAGCACCAGTAGTCAAGTAAGAAAGAGTAAGAAAAAAACAGCTGCAACATTAATAAAAGAGGATATACACTCTCTCATAGAGTTTATGTCTAGCAAAAGTACTGCTACATCTCCTGCAGTTGATGAGACATCCATCGAGAAGTATTGGCACGTTGGGACAAATTCCTGATATTCTAGCTGGGAGTGAAATTTACAGTTTTACTATGAATATGTTCCGCAAGAAAAATAATCGACAGATATTTTTGGGGATGCCTACTGATGAAGCTCGCAAGTGTTGGTTGGAGTTTAACTACCAGTTATACCTTAACAAAAATGGATAATGTATCGTTGCGGTTAGACTTTCTATTATTCCGTGTTCGAATATTGTGATTGTATGTGTAAACTTTATTATGGTTTTATGTGTAAACTTTATTATGGTTTTATGTGTAAACTTTATTATGGTTTATGTGTTTGGATGTTGTGATTGTATCACTAAACTTTTATTAAATTAAAAATTTTGTTTGTTAAGCTTACTATTGTTAAGCTTCAGGTTATATTCATTTTAAATGTTAAGCTTCAGTTAACGTCAACTTCCGTTAACTAAAGCTTTTGTTAGCTTCAATTTGTAAAGCTTTTAGTTAGCTTCAATTTCCTTCAATCTTTTAGTTAACATTTTTGTTTTTATTTTTAGTTAAATGGAGAGTTCAAACTCTAGTGACATAATAGATCCTTATCCAAGTTATTCGTCAGACGATGAAGATGAAGAAGAACTGGAGGAAATACAGAGGGAGCAAGATGAGAAGGAATGGACTGCTTTATGTCAAATAGCAGGTAAATTGATATTGATGTATTACCAAAAATACCTATGCAAGGAACCTTGTCGTACATCTAGTCGCTCTGGAAATGTATTTATTCAAGAGATACTAAGAGGAAACGAGACTCGTTGTTATGAAAATTTTGGATTGAGGAAGTCAGTGTTTGTTGATCTATCGAATGACTTAACTGAAAAGTATGGGCTTAAACCCACACGTGGAATGTCTATACACGAGATGTTAGGCATGTTCTTGATAACTTGTGCACATGGAGCTGGAAATCGATTGATACAGGAAATCTTTCAACATTCAGGAGAAATAATTCATAGACACTTTCATAGTGTTTTAAAGGCGATTTGTGAGCTTGCAAGAGATATAATTAAACCACATCAAAATTATAATGATGGTGCAGGAGCTCACAAGCCATGTAATGGTCGATATCTCCCTTTCTTTAGAGTAAGAAATATTTTTACATAATTATTTTTTATTAAATTTATAACTTAACTTTTATAAGTATTACTAACTTAAGTTAAATTTATACTTGTAAATGTATGTAGGATTGTATTGGAGCACTTGATGGCACACATGTTAAAGCAAGGTTACCGCAAGGTCAAGAGATACCATATATTGGACGTAAAGGTTATCCGACTCAAAATATTCTTGCTGTCGTAGATTTTAATATGTGTTTTACATTTGCATGGGCTGGGTGGGAAGGAACAGCTCACAATAGTCGTATATTTGGTGAGGCCCTTCGTAGACCAGAACTTAACTTTCCACGTCCAATTGGAAATAAGTATTATCTAGTTGATGCAGGATATCCTCACATGAAGGGATATATGACTCCATACAAAGGAGATAATGTGAGATATCACCTAGCACAATTCCGCCACGGTGCAACAAGACAATTGCGAGAACCAAGAGGGCGAATTGAAAAATTTAACTATTTGCATTCTTCTTGTAGAAATATTGTTGAGCGAACATTTGGGGTTTGGAAAGCAAGATGGTCAATTTTGCGAGACATGCCTTTTTATCACATTGACACTCAAAGAGACATCGTACTTGCTACTATGGCCATTCATAACTATATTAGAAAGAAATGCAATATGGATGATGCATTCCGAGCAGCTGAGAATGAAAGATATGTTCCATCTGTTGATCCTGATGTTGGTACATCTTTGAGAGCTAATAACAATATAAATGCGGAAAATGTGGAAGAGCAAAGTGATCTTGTTTGGATGGGTCTTCGCGATTTGATTGCTAATGAAATTTGTGAAGCTTGATACTTGTAGTTGTATTAATATTTATTATTTTACATTCCAATTGAGAAATGTTATTTTGTTTTGTTCTCTTGAAATATGCATATAATGACCTAACTTTTTATATAATTTGAGAAATCAGTGTATAACTTCAATTTGATTAGCTTGAGGTATAAAATGTTTTTTTAAATCATCTGTATCTAATTGAATGTTTATTTTGCGACAGAACAAAAAATTATTTTCCTTGTGACCTTCTACATGTACAAGGTTGTTAAGATATGTCAAAGGTTTACGAGTCTGAAACCAGTTGTGCAAATGGGACTTCATAGCATTATTAGGAAGAACAAGAGGAAAGGAAATGGAACCTCGCATCCTTATGATATATGTATGAGATTATTAGAGAGTAAGTTTGTGATTGACTTATGTCGTAGCACTTTCTGAGCCAAGGGAAGAAAAAAAAAGTAATTGATCAATTAGATTCTCACACAGATATATACAAAGCAAAAACTATTCTTTTTATTTTCTTGGCAAATAAATAAAAAAAACTATCTTAAGTAATTATTTAAATTAAAATTATATTAAAATACAAATTATTTTTTGTTTGCATTGCTTATGAATCAAATATATTGTAGTAATCAGCTCCTTTTATAATGTTAACAGCTTTAAGGATATATCAGTTTTTTTAAGAGAAAAAAATTCTTACCAGCACTTGTTTACCAAACACTTCAACAACTTTTTTTTAAGGTTCAGCACTTTTATTCAAACAGATAACTGCTTATTTATAAAACAAGTTTCAGCACTTAAAAGCTAAAAGCTCTTAATTTTCTCCATTTCCTCCTTCTTTCTTCCCCGTTACTCCAATAGCTCAACTGCGCCGCCCAGATGAGCTTCTAATCCCTGTATGGCGGTAACCCGTTTGATATCAACCCGTACCTGCAGCCGAAATTTCTGCATCATCTTCATTAACCCTAATTTTCTTCACTTTTCCGATTTGTCTCAATGGCCACCGATGCCTCCCCTAAATTTCAACAACCAGACCTTATATCCATCCCTCAGCCATCCGATTTCCATCCTGAGATTATAGTGTCGCCGACACACGATGGGCTTCAGTTCTGGAAATTCATGATTGCGGGCTCTGTAGCTGGTATGGTGGAACACATGGCCATGTTCCCAGTTGATACAATCAAGACCCAAATGCAAGCCATTGGTTCTTGCCCTATCAAGTCCATTAGCATCCGTCAGGCTTTTCGGTCCATTGTTCAAACTGAAGGCATTGCCGGACTTTACCGTGGCATTGGAGCTATGGCTCTTGGTGCTGGTCCAGCTCATGCGGTTTATTTCTCTGTTTATGAGAATTGTAAGAAGAGATTTTCCTGTGGAAATCCGAATAATTCTGCAGCCCATGCCATTTCGGGAGTTTTCGCAACAGTTGCTAGTGATGCTGTGTTTACTCCAATGGATATGGTGAAGCAGAGGTTGCAGTTGAGCAGTAGTCCTTATAAGGGAGTGTTGGATTGTGTGATGAGGGTATTGAACGAGGAAGGGTTTAAGGCATTTTATGCCTCGTATGGGACTACGGTTCTAATGAATGCTCCATATACAGCTGTGCACTTTGCTACGTATGAGGCTATCAAGAAGGGTTTAACGGAGGTATCGCCCGAGAATGCGAGCGATGAACGATTAATAGTTCATGCTACTGCTGGGGCAGCAGCTGGTGCTTCCGCGGCATTGGTTACGACGCCTCTTGATGTTGTGAAGACACAATTGCAGTGTCAGGTATTTAACTCTGCTTTCTGGATCTGCTCAATTTCTCCTGTTGTATTTTTATAAGCTAGAAAAGAAAAAACTAAAATTACCTGTGTGCTCGTGAAAAGGTGCGATTTTTCCTATTTATGGGTAATCACAAATTTATAGCCAAGTTACTCCAAGCTAACTAGCCAGAAAACTGAAAAGTTTAGCATGAATATGTGCTTATTGTACTTGTTGGCTGTTACATGTCATTAAAATAATTATGTAGAATACACTTGACAATTATGTCATTGTTTCTTTATTGATCAGTTAATGAATGTATCATTGTTGTAGTTAAGTGAATAATAAAGAATCATCTTAATTGTCCCGACCCCAAACCCACTATAAGCCGTTATGGCGTCCAACGACGCCTTTAGGCAAGCCAATGGTGAACTATCAAATTAATTATTCATTTTTATTACTTTTGAAATCATAATTTATATATATATA